ACTAGCAGATATATTCACTACACAATTTGTTCCCTCTCATCTTCAACTAGCAGATATATTCACTACACAATTTGTTCCCTCTCATCTTCAACTAGCAGATATATTCACTACACAATTTGTTCCCTCTCATCTTCAACTAGCAGATATATTCACTACACAATTTGTTCCCTCTCATCTTCAACTAGCAGATATATTCACTAAGGCCTTAGGAGGAGACAATGTCAAGAAATTAACAAGCAAGTTGAACATTCTCAACATTCATGCTCCAACTTGAAAGGGAGTGTTGAGAAGATAAGCTGAAGTTGATTTGCTATAGATAAGAAGATGTTGATCTACTATTAAAGTCATTCTGCTACAATTCCGACTGGTATAGATAAACTGATTGAGTTGGACACAATCACTTGTGGGTCCTCCTTTCTAAGCACATGTTTGTATGTATATATATACTTGATGTAAATACTTCTATAACAAGTAGAAATTAATAAAACAGTTCTTCATTCTTCTTCATCATTTAGTTTTCATTTGGCTTTTTAGGGTTTTCTTACAGTGACACGTGAACCCACGCATTGTTATTGGCGGTGGCATGTGAAGTGTTGTTATCTATTTTTGAGTTTGTACGAAAAAAATAATATATATATATATATATATATATATTTGAAATAAATTTAAAAGATAATAGGAGGGAGAAAAGGATACTGAAATGCTAAAAAAATAACAAAATTGGTTGAGAAGTTTTAAAAATATAAAATGTTAAAATTTAATAGTATATTTTTACTGATGAGAGTTTTATTGACAAAGAAAATTCAAGTTGAGAAAGAAAAGTCTAAAATCAAATGTTTATGAACTCAATTAAATTTTAGATTTATCTAAGGTTTAATTAAATTTATGGTCGGTTTGATTATAAGAAAAATTGATTTTTAAGTCAATTTAAGTTTTTATTGGAAGAAATTAAAATTTTGGGGTCCAATTATCATTTTGAAAAGGAATTTAATTGTATAATTATTGAAATTTGATGGTTAATTAGAAACTTAATTGAAACAATCTGAAACTAAGGATCAAACCAAAAAAGATGCTAAAATCAAGGGATCCAATTACAATTCATACGAGGGGCTTGATTATAAAATTGTCAAAACAGCCAAGTACCAAATCGAAAAGTGTCATTTTGAAATTTTGAAACGGCGCCGTTTCCATTATTCATTGTCTCCTTCAGAAAAAGCAGTTTCAGCATTAAAACAGGAATATGTTTTGCAGCAAATTGCTCCAATTATGGGGCATGTTTTATGGCTGCTATCCCGGCGACCGTTACCACCACAGTGCTTTGCTTGGGCTATAAAAGCAAGAAGGGGAGCCGAAGACAGGGGGGAACAGAGGGAGGAAAAAAGATTAAAAAAAATACAGAAAAGAACTGAGAAAGAGGAAGACGGGAAAGATATGAAAACAGGGAGGAGCTTGTTTTACAACAGGGGAAGAATCGCTGCCATTCTCCATCACAACCGCACCAGCACTGCCAACGCCATCGTCAGCACATCATCTTCTCCATCCCAGCAGCCACTGCCATTCTCCATCACAACCGCACCAGCACTGCACAACCGAAAGGAGAAAGAAGAAGAGTAAGGGAGGGAGGCGACAGAGAAAAAAGGAAGAAAACGGGGAAGAGTGGAACAGGAGAGAGAGTAAGAAAACGGAGGGGGAAGAACCCGCGAGAGGAACCAGAAAAAAGCACACATAAGGGTGACGGTTAGAAAAGCAGAGAGAAAGAGGAGGAAACAAGAAGCCAGTAGACGAGGACGGCATCACCATCAACTTTCCCTTCTCCAGAACCAGGAACCAGACCGAGCAAGAAGAACCCGGCGTGGGAACGTCCAACAAGCAGAGAATTAAAACAGCATCACCTTTCTACAACACCATCTTCCAGAATCAGAGGCAGCAGAACAAGGAATCAGTAACAAGAAAAGGGGCGCAGAGGAGGTTAGAGAAATAAGAAACCAGCAGATGAAACTCGGCATCACCATCGGCTTCTCCTTCTCCAGCACCAGGTACGCCATTTCCTTTCTTTCTTTGCAAATGAGTTCTGTAACTGTGCGAAGGTAAATTACCTACGCACTGCTAATGCACGCGTGAATAAATTCACGCGTGCCTTCGGTTTCCCAGCCAGGGCACTGGTTTGAGTTAGAGACTAAGCCGGGTTAGTTGGGTTTAACCTAGTCACATGAGCCGAGCTGAATCTAATCCCTAAAAACAAATTAAAAATTAAAAAATATTCAAAAAAATTTGTGATTTTTTAATATAATTTTTTATCAATTTTGCATAATATTAGTTTGTATTTTTATACTGTAAAGATACAAATTTGATATTAAAATACTTAATTTTCACCAAAACAAAATAAAAAATAAAAAAATAAAATATTTTGTTTTCATGCATATGGCCAAGTCTCTTAAAAATAAAATAAAAAATCATATTGCATTTTTATACAATACAAAAAAATTTTAAAAATATGTATTAGCATGCATTTTGATTTTAATAACCAGTTTATTAAAGTCACGAAAACTAGGCTAATATTTCAAAAAATTTTAAAAAATTATTTTATTTTCTTTTAATATCTAAGGTTACAATCTTATACATAAGACATATTACTGATATTAAATTCTTTTGTTGATATTAGAATAGTTAGGTTTTAGCCGATAAGATAAGAATCTCCTTACCGAGAAGAACTTTTCTTAAACAATAGATGGACTAATAATTAGAAAACACGACAAGACATTAAGTTTTATTAGACAATAAAATAATACAGCCACCTTAGGTATGATATATTTGGGGTGCTAATATTTTTCATTTGCACAACCAGTCCTAGTACCTGATCTCTAAGACCAGTTAAGATTTCTAGTAACCAAAATAATAGATGGCGACTCCCATTCTAATTTTCCATTAATAAGAGAAAAGAAATTCTTGTCTCCTAACATTTGTCATATTTTTTTAGATAAGATAAAATCTTGAGCGTGGATATTTTCACCGTGATGTTGCATATGTGTGACATGGAGGAGAGGCGCTGCCACTGTTCCTACATTCCCAAAAGTCCTCCTCTGTAATTCCTAGACTTTTTAGGGGCCTATTTTGTAATTTTTACATGTTGGAAAATGTGTATTTTAGATTATTGTTAGTTTTTTTTTATAATTTATGTGATTTTATAAACATGTAATTATGGGTCAGCAAACATAGCAAAAAGGGGATGTATGTGCTCTTGTATTTATTTTTTTATGTATGTTTTTTTGTATATGTTAAAAAATCAAAAATAAAAAAGAATTAAATGTTTTAATTTGCATACATTCAAATATCCTGGGTATAAATTAAATTATTTTATATTTTTCATGAAAATACAAGAATATGTTTTTGTATATATTTTGAGATTTAATAACTGATTTATTAAAATCTTAAAAATTTGGCTAATATTTTATTTTTTTAATTTAAATCAAACAACAAAACAGCTTACTAGAAGTAGAGTTTGCTAGGAGTGCTAATATTTTTCTTAGTCACAACTAGTTTATTACCTTTGAATATCTGACAACAACCGATACATTCAAGTTTTTTAATAATCTTCAATTAAAATCAAATACTAGATAATGATTCCCAAACAAACAAATAAGTAAAAATCATCATCCATGGCCTGCAAGGATATGCAACACATTTTATAATATCAAATTAAATTTTACAAAGACTTTATTACATTAACTGAGCTTTAGATACCTTTAGTTTTGTTTGCATTCAAGAAATTCATATAACTTCAAATTGATACGTAGACAACATTAAAATCCCGAATAAGCATATTAACTCTACTAATTGTTGTTATCATTAAAACAAATAAATCATAGTTGATTAAAAACCTTTGGACTAACCTAATGTGATAATAATTTAAAAAATATATTAATTATAATGTAATAATAATAATGTTTGATGCTTTAATATAGAGAATATTCATACTGTCGTAGAGGATAATAGGCCCGAAATATACACTTCATGTTTCATGGGCATGCAATTGCTGGGTTTTATAATTTATAAGAAAACTTCTTTTACCTCACATTCTACTCCTGGAATCAAATCCCAAATAATAAAAAAGAAAGATCGAAAAACACCTTCCGACTAAGTGTAAATTCAAATAGATTGATTTACGTTTTCTTATTTGATTTTTTAAGATTTAATCTTGAGCCAGTACTCATAAAAATTTATTTATTTAAATGCACCGGAATAACAAGATAGATCTTCTCTTAAAATCATTCGCGAGAAAATATAATTTTAGTTAATTCCTACTTTTTTTTTCTTCATTCTACTTTATGTTGAGTTTGACAATTGTATAAATTTATTATACATTTCAGTGCCTTGCATCTTAGGATTGACTTATATCTTTTATTGGGGTCTAACTGTAATTTTTAAGATTTTAAATATTTTTTTAGTTTTAAATTAATTTTTTAAATATTTTTAAATTATTTTAATGTGCTAATGTTATAAAGAAATTTTTAAAAAATATTTTAATATATTTTCTAATAAAAAACAACTTAAAATATAATCTTTATCACACTGCAAAACAGGTTAATAGGATTAATGGTTTTATATGGGCTTAGGCATTTATTTCTATGAACGATTTTTCATTCTTCCACAAGCTCAATAACCATGGCAAATGGATTTGCTAAGTTAGTGAGACAATAGAGACTTTACAGCGTTTACATTGTCCTATATTTTTCATGAACAGAAACATCATAATGACAAAGGGGAATAATTGCCAACTTATTACAACAGACCAAGAAACCAGACACAAGTTCGGTTGCTAGAAGGCAACAAACAAAAGCCGTAAAAAAAACATGACATAATTAAAAGCTACAGGGCATATTGTTGTGCAAATATTTCTATTTTAACATGAAATGGACATCTTGTTCCATTATTATTATTATTATTATTATTTAGATCAAAACAAGTTTATAAACTTGTTTTTTCTATATGTTTCAACTTCATTAAGTTGTTTAAATGGAGATACTACAGGGAACTCCTTCCCCAGTAATCCCAGGCCCGGAGGACGGCTTCAACAGCTCATAAGGCATAACACCAGCTCCATTTCGGTTGAACAAATTCTTGTCAGCATTCCTTCCATCTATATTCTCTCCCAGCTTGTTCAAACTCTCATTAAATTCGTCAAAATAATGCTTTATATCAGGATCCTCAGCCCAAACTGGCTCTATTTTACCTCCTAGATACTCCTCATCAGGAGAGTGTTCAGATAAAACATTCAAAGTAGCAATCACTTTTACAGCCTGAAGTTGTGATGGGAAGGTATCCATAAGCGTTTCTTCAGGTTTTTCCAAGAAAGAATGCCATTCCTTATCATTTGGATCTTCAGTTGGCATATTTTTTCTAGTAATTGTAGGCCTATTTGGGAAATACCCCGCATATGCATATTGTCCAAAGTTCACAGCAGCATGGTGACCTGAGACTATCCATATAATAGTTGTGATAATTTCAATAAGGTCCTGCGGTGTTTTTAGCTTAGGCCACCATGGTTCGTCCTTTTTGTCACCATGGCCTACAGTACGTACTTCTTCCCACCATGCTAGGAGCTCAGAATCGGACTCGATGAGACTTGCCTCTGGATAGTAGTGATTGACATAGTCGCTGACCCATTTTTTGATGATGTCCCATAACTCAAGACCATCATTGGCATAAGGGTAATCTTCTACTGCTAGCTTCAGACCATGCGGAGAAGATGGATCTTCAATGGCCATTCCTCTGGCAAATATCAAAACCAGAAGTATTTATTAACGAAGACATATCCTGACGTTACATGCGTGTTAAGTTTAAGGAAATGAAAAAAAAATGGAAGTAGGTTTCAAGAGGCTAGTCAATGTTGCTACCTGCTAATTAGATCCTTAGGCAGTCCCTGATGGTCAAACCTCCACTGCTTATCGTAAATAACAGAGCTTAGCTCCATACAATACTTTCCAGGTGCAAATGTCGACTCAATTGTCCCGGCAGCATTGATTAGCGTGTTTCTAGCTGTAGCATTAATCTCCATTGTGTATCGAAAGTGAGGGTGCAGGAGCCTATAGATTGGATGCATGACACTAAGTTGTCGATTGGTTGCAATTACGTATGGCTCTGTGGCACAATGAGTTCGTAGCCTGCAAAATGTACATCAAATTAAGGGACAGCAAAATGTTAATTCAGTTCATAAGCTACTTCAGCATCGGTCTCTCAGTGATTAATAGTTTTTAAGATGGATTAGCATCAACCATTATTTGGAGAGAGATGTGCCTTTTGACTGCAGTTGATTTTTCTTGAAGCTTAGAACTTATGACAGATCCTATGCATAGAAAATGTTAAACTTCTACCTAGAAATACAAGTGAAGAAAATGTGTACCAGTGAGTAATAAGTTGGTGATAGCCAGAATCATGTGCAAGGACATGAGCTTTGGCAAGTCTCCAAAGCCAGATATCTGTGGAATTCCAGGATGGTGTAAACACTTGCTTCCACTGTGGCTTTCCATCCATCGGTGGACGAGTGAGCTCAATGGCTAGCGGCTTCAGTGTTCCGTGTGGGGTTAGGAAAAACAATGTCCGCGAACCATATAGAGTTGTATTTTCAAGCTCTCGTACTTGTCTCACAAAAGGTAGAAGTATATCGTGATAATCAAGGATGAACAGTTTCTTTTGTTCTAGAGCCTACATAAATCAGATAATAAATATTCAACATTTTGTTATGCTAAGATCAAAAGATCTATAATTTGATGACTGATCATAATGATTGTTTTATTTCATGTTGAAAATGGGTTCCTGGCTACCTTGTCAACTGTCATAAAATCTTTGATTTCGTCCTTGATTATTTCATCTGTGATTGCTGACTCCGTTGGACCGTAGATGTCAGGATCAAGTTTACTTCTCAGAGGCCATTCCTGCATGATTTTATCCAGCATCGGGGCAAGGTATTACCAAACTTGTTCATGCAAAAATATTAGTATCTTACGCAGGCCTCTGTTTCCTTAATTTCTCCTATTTCTGAATTTATACTAGCAAAGTATTTCCAGCTATGTTTTAGATTAGTCATTGACTGCTTTTTTATATGAAGCATGTCTCTTTGTTCATGATGGCGCCTACTTTCTTAATTTCTTTATTTATATCCGTCATTCCTTAAGTCTTACAGGTTTGATCCTGTAGAATCTGACCCAATTTCTCATTGAGCGAAGGGTACAAAATAATTTTAAAAAACCATGACATGTTGTGGATCTCAATCAACCCTGATGGTTTCCAATGCAATTGTTTCAAGACAATTAAACTTTGAAGCGAAGGGTGTAAATACCATACCGTGACCAATTGTATGCTAGATGGATTTAGACCAGCAAGAGTCTCCCGAGCGAATTCCTCATCCCTTAGCCAAGAAAATCTGTCACCTGTAATGCAAAAACAAGATTTTAACAATTTTGAGGTGGTCTAAAAATAACAAGAATACATTAATCTTCTCTTGATAAATGGTCATTAATAATAACGTTTTTCTTTCTTTCTTTCTTACTCTCCATTACTTGAGGAGTATCAAATCGCAACTCGTATATAACTGGACTAAAAAGCTGCTTTATAAACGCGGGCAAGGAACTGATCTCTTCTAGCGGAGCGGAAGGCAAGTTGATTCCTTCATTGAAGAGTACATCTATGGCTGTGAAGTATGGGAATTTAGCCTTATTATTGAAAGCAGCTTGTAGTCCTGGTATTATTGAACGTAGTATTTCCAATTTTCTCCTCTTTTCAAGTGATTTCTGCTTTGTGTCAGAGAATTCTTCATCTCGGGGAACATATATGTACTTGCTCCTTGTCTCCATAGATGGATCTATCAACAGAAGTTAATTTCATATTATATAGTGTACCTTTATATATACATATAATGCACACACATTAGTGTTTAATATCAATACACATTAGCATGATCATTCCAATATATAGCTTAATCGTTTAGATGCCATTTCCCTATATGCTATAACACTAGTACTTATTATGATCAATTGCTGTAGAAATCCTGAAGCAATGCCTGTTAAATTATTTTTTTTTTTGGCTCGGAGATAATCAATGGACCCTCTACCGTTTAAACCTTGTTAATAACATGAACCAGCACTGACTTCCACAAATTTCTACCATATGCCTATACGTTTTTGGTCAGACTAATGAAGGGACTGCTAGATACTGTCGTGAACATGTATAAAAGCATTAGGTTTTCAATCCCGTACCATTTTTTCTTTTTCACGTTTTTACTTACAATTCTTGGTCCGTGGCCGCCCTGTTCGGCAACGTCTAGGATAAGGATGTTCTTCGCCGCCTAGCACTGGTCTTTTTAAATCAGGACTCTTATCAGGATCTCCAAGGTCATTGTACACGTCGTAGTCATATATTCTTTCACCTTTTTTGCGCTCTCCTTGGCCGTCGCCTCGCAGATTCACAAGCTCCTCCTGTCTCAACCTTCTCAATCCACTTGGTGTCTTGTTGGGCATGTACGTTGACTGCTCCATAGTACCCACAGAGTTAGTATCAGAATCTTAAAATGACAGAAAAATAGCTATAACACTACTACCTACTTTGTCTTTCAGACAAACAAGCAAGCACAAATTTTATATATAGGCAAAGAGAGTCTGACCTTGTTGGTAAAGAAGAGTCTTTCCTGCTCATATTCAACCCATGACTGACATGTCAATAAAACTTTGTCATGAGAGGAACCATCAAGGACTATTTCCTTGATGAACATCTCCTTACTGTGTTCATTGGTAACATAAACCGCACCAACTTCTCCATAATCAGGTGGAACCACAAATTCTGCTTCATACACGACATTATCATCCACATGGCCTGCCCGCCATGCCCTCTCTGTTAAGTACCGCTGATCTTGTCCTGTGTGTTTTGGAAACATTACAGAAAAGAAAAGAAAAGTGAGTAATATGATCTATACGTACATTTTATCATATACAGGGAAAAAAGTAATATACTTTAGGGTTAAAAGGTGTATTTGGTACATGCAATTTTTCAATTTTCTTAATCAAGTCCTTATCATTTTTTTAACATTAAATTACTGTGACGTTGCATATGCAAGTTTGTGCGCGCGCGCGCGCGGTGTGTTTCGACTATCTTGCATATCAATAGACACTAATTACAGCTCATTCTCTCTTCTAACTCTACTAATATATGATCTAAGTTAAGGGGAAAAAAAGCAATAGAATCATAAATTATAATGAGCCATAAAAAAAAATGTCTCCATAACTTTTTGAATGGATTTATTGAATGTATAAAGCACTTAATCTATATATTATGTATACCTCAAATACTTGATGGTATGCAATTTGAAGAAAATGAAATAAAAATATGTAGGACCATGGTTTTTGATGATAAAATTGAAAGAAAATAAAGTTTCATAGACAAAATAAAAGGAATATAAAATCTGAGGGGCCTAGAAGAAAAATTTGCTCAATAAACATCAATAGTGAATGTGAGAGGATGGATAATAATAATAATAATAATAGCACAATAAAGCTTGATTTATCTTTAATGTTCTTGTTTATGTGAATGCTTGAGCTTAATGGAGAGGGAATGAGAAGAAATATGCACTCACAAGATATATTATATGTTTGAAACCATTTTGAATGCTAGGAATTGAATTCCAGATAAAATTGAATCTCTAAAAAATATACAAAAATAAATTAGAGGTCAACCTCTCTAATTTATAATTTCAAAAAGAAAAAAAATTAATTTTAAAACTAGCTTTTCTAATATTCATTTACTCATCTTTATCTTAGAGATCTTTAAAGAAATAAGATGAAGTTAATGAGGTTAATATGGAAAATAAAATGAATTGAATTTTATCTCTTCCAAACATGTGAATTAAACTTATTTATAAATTAAATTCAAATTAAACACTATAATTGAATTCAATATTCTAAACAAACTATTAAAACGGATATATTATAGATATCTTCTGTCAAATTACGCTTTAATTAAAAAAAAAATAGTTATATTAAAGATACATTGGTGTACTTAAAGGAATAATCTCTTGTTTAATTTAAGTCAAGGACCCACTTCTTATCCATAATTGTTCGAGTCAAGAATTCAATTTTACCTTGTAAGTCCAATTAAATTCCTTCATTAAATCTGTTATGAAAATTAAACATATTTGAAAGAATTAGGTAAATAAATACAACCAAAATTTTTGTATCCTTTTTCAACATTTAAATTAGCAACTAAAATTAATAATAAAAATAAAAACTAAAAATAAATATGAAACAAATAAGGGTTTAGATGAAATCTGGATTATATCATAGAGTATCACTATCTAATTATCATAACCGAACAGGAGAGAATGATCAGCTGAGGATTTGATTTAATTCATTTGACAACTTTTTCTTTTTGACAATTATATTGCAATGCTCAATAACGCATGCATGTCAGTGCAGTAGACAGACTGAACAGCTCTAGCAATATATGATATATAAAAAATTTAAAGGAAATTAATATTGATTAGGAAATGTTGATGAGATCCTGACTACTACTTACCGGGATCAAGGTCGGCAAAAACAAGCTTCAGTTTTAGAGTGTTACCCGTCCAATCTGACCACTTATCTCTTAAACCATCATCATTTCTCTCCACAATCACAGTAGCCTTTAATTTACTAGGCTGCACTGTGAATACCGTTGCTTCGGCTTTAATATTGGTGGTAGTTTTATAACCAACACGTCCATTTCTCTTAGTTTTAGTGAATGAAGACCTCGAAGGGACAAGAAAAGTTGCATGGCTATTGCCATAAAAGCATGGATTGGGCAATATCAAGGATGTTCTTGGAGGGTATAATGAATGGTGAACCTGTGGCATCAGCATTGTGTTTTGGAAAGAAACAAAAACAAAAAAAAAACAAAGGAGTTCCTGGAGGGGAGATTTATCTCTATTCGGGCGAGAGGTGAATATTAGAGAAGTAGATTGCGTGATGAAAATGGAGACCTAGAGGCATGAATTTATATATAGGAGTAGATAGATCAGCCATATATATATATATATATATATATATATAAAGGCATATTATGGAAACCAAAAATGGTCAGTGGTTTTTTTTTTAGAAGTCAATATATTAAAGAGGCTAGCTAGAAGATAGCCAAAAGCAAGATACAAGAAAAAAAGAAAAATAGAGAAGAAAACAGAAAGCAAAAAATAAAAGATAAAAAGCCAACCGGTACATATAAGATAAAAAAAAAGCATCAGGATTGAAGAAGTTGATGCGACACACTTAAAACCTTGATTTGATGTCATTGCATGGACCAATTTATAATACATTTAGGCCCCGTAATTAAATCAGTTCTAGTAGCCATGAAAAACTAATATGTAGACTTGAGCCAATTCAAGAGATGATATAGAATCAAGGAGAAGCTGTCTTTGAAGATTGCAAACTAAACACATCGAAGTTAATTACCATTTTGACCGTGAGAAGGTGGCAAACCGGGACACAGTTTTACAACATGTCCCTACTTTATTGCAACCTGTAGATGTTTTTATCAAGGGACACACAACTGATCGTTTTTGCTTGTTATGGGACAAACTCTTTGTGTTGGATCTCCCTGCTAGTTTGCAGGGGGAATGCTAAGGATAAGAACTGTCTAGTTTTTTTTTTAGATTAATGTGAGTATCCGGGCTAATTTGCACGCATCACGATTAATCCCACGAACCCTAAAGTTAACGACCATGTAAGCCTCTAGTGGCCATCATATGAGCAACAAAGGACTCGAACCTGAGACCACAGAGGAAACAAACCCCTTGATCCCAAATCCTTACCACTTGGCCACCAAAAAAAAAAAAAAAGAACTGTCTAGTTTAAACCAGAAAGCTTGCAAACTACATTGCCGTTTGGAAATTATCATTTAACTTGTATTTAAATCTCATATATTTTATATTTCTTATAACAAACACAAAGCTCTTTCTCTTATCTCTTGTAACAACCTTGGTTATTTATGAATGAGAATATACACGTCTCTGGTGAGGTTTCACAGAGTTCTTTTAATTCTTCCAGAATACTCGATTTTTTCCAATTACACGAAAGGCTAAGTTGTGGTTTATCCAAGATCATGACATAATTGGAAATTTTTTGAGAACAAAATAAAATCCCAGAACACAAGAATAATATCATTATCCACATGGAAGCTTCTCTTTTTTTCTTTTTTCTTTTTCCTCTTGTGCACACCAGAAGTTACCCCACCCATATTTAAATGTTTGGACCACGCATGAAAATATGGATAGATTGTGAATGTAAAATGAGATAGTATGAATCACGTTTTCCATGCAATTGAAATGTTCTCACTGTGAAGTTTGCTCTCTTGGTAAATAGGTCAACACAAGTCTCTAGATCATCCCTCTAACACAGTTACCTTTACTCTGTTAAATCAATCCCAAATTTCTTTCACTTCATATATATATCTAAATTCATTTGTACCACTTGTTTAAAGTGTAAATTTGCTAAATTTTATTTTTATTATCCAGCAATTAAATCTATTAGACCTTTAGAGCTAATAATACATAATAATGTTTGGTGTCCTTCTCCCACTATATTTACTATATTTGTTGAAGGTTTCAGATATTATGTTAGTTTTATTAATAAATGTACTCGATTTACTTGGTTTTTTTTATAATCAATAAAAAAAGGGTTTATTCCATTTTTTTCTACTTTCATACCTTCTTAGTTACTCAATTTTCTACTACTCTTCGAGTCTTTCAAAGTGATGGGGTGGATGAGTATCTTAATAATAAATTCAAATATTATTTTCTTACCAATGATATTATCCATTAAATGTCTTGTCCCTATACTCCAAAACAAAATGGCCTTGCTGAGTGCAAACAGAGGCATATTTTAGAAACAACTATTACTCTATTACAAACTGCCCATTGACCTCCAAAATTTTGATTTCATACTTGTGCTACTTCCATTTATTTGATTAATAGAATGCCTTGTCAAATTCTTCAACTCAAATCACCATATTTCCTGTTATATGGTTCTCCACCGGTCATTACTCATTTACGGATTTTTGGTTGTACTTGTTTTTCTTTACTCAAGCCTTATAATTCTAACAAGCTTCAGCCCAAGACTTGTATTTTTCTAGGGTATGCAGGTCAGTATAAAGGGTATCTCCATTTTTCTATTTGAACCAATCGCTTCTTCATTATTAAACATGTTCTATTTGATGAATCTATGTTTCCTTACTCTTCTGTGGTTACTGCATCCGCTTCCTCTTCCCCATCTCCTTGTCTACATTCCACTATGTTCCCTCTTATTTCTTTACCTACTCAAGCATTTGCCTCTCGGCTTACACTATCTCCAAGTTCCTCCTCTAAGACCTTACCCATTCTGTCATCTACACAATCCCCTATCCTTATTGATCATGACTTCAAACCTGAGAATCTGTGTGTGGTCTTACCTCTTTCACCAATGAATCTTTATCCAATAACCATTAGGTCTAAGAATGGTATTTTCAAAAGAAAGGCTTACTCTGCCTCTATACAGTCTATTACTCTTTCTCAGGTTAAACCCAATTCCTTCAAGGCTGCTTCCATCATTCCTAAATGGTAGTCTACTATGCGGGAGGAAATTGATGCTCTTCATACATAAGGTACCTAGGACTTGGTGCCTCTCCCACCTGCTAATAATTTTGTTAGCTGTAAATGGGTTTATAGAATCAAGAAGCATGCAAATGGTTCTATAGCTAGGCATAAAGCTTAATTGTTTGCCAAGGGTTTCAGTCAAAAGAAAGGTATTGACTATAATAAAACTTTCAGTCCTATCGTAAAACCTACTAAGGTTCATTTGATTCTTACCCTTGCAGCTTAGTTTAACTATTCCTTACGACAGCTTGATGTTACTAATGCCTTTTTGCTTGGTATTCTTCATGAGGAGGTTTATATGACTCAACCCCAAGGTTTTGTTAGTAAGCTTTATCCTTTTAACTTTGTTTGCAAACTCAAGA